CTGCTCTTTTACTTGGGACATGTTTCTTTGTTTCTTCATTCTGGCTGTCACTCTGATTGCTTCGATGTACTAGAGCACCTAGAAAGAAAAAGGAAAAAGAAAAAAAAAAGGAAAAGGAAACAAAGATGAAAAAGGAAAAAAGGGGGGGGGCTCTCTCTGCCCACTTTAATCTGAAGACCACTTGCTCAGCAATAGAGAGACTCTGGGCAACTCCACCAGCTGCTGGGGGGAAGGGCTCAGTGCGTCATGCGCCGACCTTCCTCTAGACTTGAAGTGAGCTTCCCACAATTAGTTGCTATGTGCTCTGGAACCGTGCTCACCACCAAAAATCCACACAGGTTGTTGCAGGCTGTCTGCTGCTGCAAAAAACCCTCTGTGGGCTGCAGAGGTAGGAGTCAGGGACCAGGTGCTCAGGTTGCCCCTGGCAACATAGCTCTAGGTGGGCGGGGCAGGCCCCCAAAGCACCACAGGATGTGGTCAGTGGCACCCACCAAGTCAGAGCAGCATGCACTCCTGCATCAGCAGCAGCCCACACAAACATGCCAGGAAAGCCCCGGCCGAATCATTGCGGCACACAGCTCGTGGCCCTACACTCCTAGGAAAACTCTCAGTCTCAGCCTGTCCCAATCAGCTGCTCGCAGATCAGGCTGAGCAGCCCGACAGACCAATCGCCACCCAGGCAACTCTGCAGCGCAGTGCAGAAATCAGGGACCTAAGGCGAGTTGCGCACTCCCGGGTCTCAAGCAGTCTGTTGGAGTTGGAGCGCGCCTGCCATGCATTTCCCTGGCTATGCAGCACAAGCAGTGCGGAGGGTGGGGATTCAAGGCTGCATGCGTGCGCACACACGCACTCCTGCACCAATTTCAGCGGAATAATGCGGTCCCAGACCTGAGCCTCTGTGGGAGGGCCCAGCCCTGAAAAAATGCGCCCTCCTGTGCACTACTCATGTGCATGCTCCACACTAGGGGAACAATGGTCCCAAAACTCCCCAGCTCCCACTCCAAAGGCACTCAGTTCAGTCCTTCCCGCAGGCTCCTGGGCCCCGCTCACACAGCTACTCCCTCCACCAGAAATCAGGTGAGTGCTCACCAGTGAGCGAATCAATTTGCCAGCTCCACTGGTTCTCCAGTTGTCCTCAGCCTCACCAAGTTGAGCAAAGAGAGTCCTCACTGTTTTCTACTTCCAGCTATCATAGAACTCGTCTTCCCGGCAAGGTAACTCTGGGCTGGTGAGCGCGGTTGGGGGCTGGAGGGTCTCTCCCCCAACCGGAGAAGCCTCCCCACCGCTGAGGTGTCCTTCATGGGGTTCACCCTCTCTCATCCCTGCCCCTCCTTCCAGACTCGACGTGGCCTCCTCTTTAAGTCCTTCATTTAGAGGTTCTGTTCATGTAGTGTCCAGGGAACTTCCCAGGTTGAATATCTTATAAATTATTTGTAATTTTTGTGTGATCCTGGGAGGCAGTCAGCACAGCATTTGTCTATTCCCCCATCTTACCAGAAGTCTTTCTACTTTTATGTGGATTGTGACAGTCACAGGTGCTGTATCAAATTTGCATTCAAATGTTATGTACCTGGAATGGGATATAGGCTGCCTACTGAAATTATGGTTCAATTACTTGTGAGTATGTTAGCCAGACTTTTTCATGTTGTGTCCCCTATAAAAATAGGTAATATTTGTATAGTGCTCTGGAGTAAACTGGGCCAGTAAACTGCTTCTGGTACAAGGGCTCCTCCGGGGAACCTCATAAAGTCTGAGAGGATAACCGCCCACGTGCAGGTGTAACCCATTCATAGCATACTAGTAGGGAAGCTATGCTTTTCCAACCTTACTGTGTGTAGAAATATAGTATAGTGCTTTAAAATATTGCTTTTGTTATCCTTCCTTTCCTGGTTGTAGCGTGGAAATTGGTGAAAGTGTACGTGGAGAGGATGTCTACATTGTTCAGAGTGGCTGTGGTGAAATTAACGACAATCTAATGGAGCTTTTGATTATGATCAATGCCTGCAAGATTGCTTCAGCCAGCCGTGTTACAGCAGTGATACCATGCTTCCCTTATGCCCGGCAGGATAAGAAGGATAAGGTAGGAGCAGAATCTCCTTTATAAAACAAGTTTGGTTTTGGTTTTTTTTTTTTAGTCCGGGGAAGCATGAGCACTGGTCCAAAGTTCAAAAAAAAAAAATCCCTTACTCATCAGATATATATTTAGAGAGTATTATTTTTTACATTCTGTTGCGAATTACCTAATTATCAAAACAGTTGATATGTGATTGGTATAAAGAAACACATTTGTAGTCTGTATATTTTATTCCAGATATATATANCTGTTCTTTCTCCAGTTCCCTTAGGTGTAAAGATAGTATGTTGATATGAGATTGTTCTTGTTTCTTTAGATAGGCCTGCATTGCTATGAATTTTCCTCTTAAGACTGCTTTTGCTGCATCCCATAGATTTTTGAGTTGTTGTGTTTTCATTGTCATTTGTCTTGAGATAGCTTTTGATTTCTTCCTTGATCTCAATTTTGACACACTCGCTATTTAGTAGCATGTTATTCAAGCTCCATGTATTTGTGTTCTTTCCAGGATTCTTTTTATAATTGATTTCTAGTTTCATAGCATTGTGGTCACAGAAGATGCTTCTTATGATTCCAATCTTCTTAAACTTATTGAGAGTGGTTTTGTGTCCTAACATGTGGTCTATCTTGGAAACTGTTCCATGTGCACTTGAGAAGAATGTATATTCTGTTGCTTTGAGGTGAAATGCTCTAAAAATATCAATTAAATCCAGCTGGTCTAAAGTATCATTTAAGGCCACTGTTTCCGTGTTGGTTTTCTGTCTGGAGGATCTGTCCGTTGGTCACAATGGGGAGTTGAAGTCCCCCACTATGATAGTGTTGTCGTTGATCTCTGTCTTTATGTCTGTCAAAATCTGTTTTATATATTTAGGAGCTCCTATGTTGGGTGCATATATGTTTACTAGGGTTATGTCCTCTTGAATCGATCCCTCTATTATTATGTCATGTACTTCTTTTTCTTTATTGTAGTCTTCATTTTAGAGTCCATTTTGTCTGAAATAAGTTTTGCTACTCCAGCTATTTTCTGATTTCCATTTGCATGAAATATGTTACTCCATCCCGTTACTTTCAGTCTGTGTGTGTCTTTTGATCTGAGATGAGTCTCTTATAAACAGCATATGCATGGGTCCTGTTTCCTTATCTACTCAGCCACTCTACATCTTTTGATTGGAGCATTTAATCCATTCACATTTAAAGTGATTATTGAGAGGTGCATATTCATTGCCATTTTGTTATTTGTATTTCTGATCTTACTGGGTTAGCTTGTTTTCCCCTTCTGTTTAAAAAAGCCCTTTTAGCATTTCCTGCAATGGTGACTTGGTGGTAATGAATTCCTTAAG